TTGCCAAGTTGGGGTTTGGTGGGGGTTGATGTGGGGTGCTGGTGGGGTGGGGCTAGATGTGGGGTGCTAGCTGAACCCAAGAATATTCCTGCAACTAGAATTTAAGCAGTTTAAGTAAACAAGAACTGGCTTTGTGTAGTGCTGACAACCTAGAATGTGAAACACACAACTCTTAGAAAGGGTTACTTCATACTAACACTTCTGAGAAAAATGACTTGACATTCCACTTCTCCAAGAATCAAGCTTATTAGTCACTGCAGTGGCCCTGAGTGCACCCTGAGGGGAATGCAGGATTGAGAAAAGCAGGCACCATACTGTGCTTTGGACATTCTAGCCTTCGTATTTTAGGAAGGGTCTCTTGGGTTCATCCACCTCTTCAGCAAGTCCAGATAAGCTTGGGAGAGTCACTCCTGGTTTTCAGATCTCCCAGTTATTGGTTGATGACCCCAATTTTGTTTGGAAGTGCATTATACATAGCGCCCACTTAAAAGACACTGAGTAGAACTTCCCTGGTGAAGTGGTAAATAATCTACCTGCCAATGCACAGGACCCAGGTTTGATCCCTGGTGTGGGAGGATGCCACACGCCTCGCAGCAATTAAGCCCGTGCAACATAAGTACTGAGCCTGTGCTCTGCAACAACAGTAGCCCCAGCAATGAGAAGCCTGCACACAAGTAACCAGAAAGTCACTTCTGTTTGCTGCAACTAGAGAAATCCCATGTTCAGCAAAAAGAGGCTCAACACAGCCAAAACAACAAAAAGACATTGAATCCTCTGAACTGACCAAAAGAAGCATCAAATGCCAGTCTCCAACCATACCCCAGCCAAGTTTCTGTGCAGAATTCTCAGTTCGATTGCTGCAAAAAGACAAAGAAGCCAGCACAATGAAGACTTAGATGAGCCAAAGATAAATTTTAAAGATTATTAAAGAGAGAAACAGACTGGCTCCAAATAGGAAAAGGAGTACATCAAGTCTGTATATTGTCACCCTGCTTATTTAACTTATATGCAGAGTACATCATGAGAAACGCTGGGCTGGAAGAAGTACAAGCTGGAATCAAGATTGCCAGGAGAAATATCAATAACCTTAGATATGCAGATGACAATACCCTTATGGCAGAAAGTGAAGAGGAACTAAAAACCTCTTCATGAAAGTGAAAGGATAGAGTGAAAAAGTTGGCTTCAAGCTCAACATGCAGAAAACTAAGATCATGGCATCTAGTGCCATCACTTCATGGGAAATAGATGGGGAAACAGTGGAAATGGTGTCAGACTTTATTTTGGGGGGTTCTAAAATCACTGCAGATGGTGACTGCAGCCATGAAGTTAAAAGACGCTTACTCCTTGGAAGGAAAGTTATGACCAACCTAGATAGCATATTAAAAAGCGGAGACATTACTTTGTGAACAAAGGTCCGTCTAGTCAAGGCTATGGTTTTTCCAGTGGTCATGTATGGATGAGAGTTGGACTGTGAAGAAAGCTGAGCGCCAAAGAATAGATGCTTTTGAACTGTGGTGTTGAGGGAGACTCTTGAGAGTCCCTTGGACTACAAGGAGATCCAACCAGTCCATCCTGAAGGAGATCAGTCCTGGGTGTTCATTGGAAGGACTGACGCTGAAGCTGAAACTCCAATACTTTGGCCATCTCATGGGAAGAGATGACTCATTGGAAAAGACCCTGATGCTGGGAAGACTTGGCAGGAGGAGAAGGGGATGACAGAGGATGAGATGGCTGGATGGCATCACCGACTCGATGGACATGAGTAAACTCTGGGAGTTGGTGATGGACAGGGAGGCCTGGCGTGCTGCGATTCATGGGGTGACAAAGAGTCGGAAACGACTGAGAGACTGAACTGAACTGAAAGAGAGAAAAAACTTTTAATGAGAAATGCATCCTTTATAAAAGTTTCTGTTCCATGCTTATGATGACAAAGCTTCAAAAACTCATATGAGAAAAACTTGTTTACATCATAATATATAATACTTAACCTAATACTTTAATGTAATGGAATGTCAAATTACTATATGATCACTTGATGTTTATTAGGCAATTTACTTCTTGTTGAAAAACTGTAATATTTTTCTCTCATCTTTGTTGTCTGTTTCTGAAAGATCTGTCAGCTGTGGACAATAAAGCACATTGTCAAATATAAAGTCTTAAGACACTAGAATTTGTTTTCACCAAAATTATCAACGTGGCGCTATTTATAAATATTTCTATGTGTATTATCTGACTGAACTCAAGTCCTAAAGGAACTTTCTTTACATTTACAGGCACCTACTATGTTCCCTGTCATTGTCTATGTGCATTTTAATGTTACAAAAGTCTCAAAATAACCCACAGACATGTATGAATTAGTGTAAGGCAGGAAAGAAATGTAAATTAAACCTTAGATCTGGGTCATAACATGTGGATAGAAAAAGTAACACTATTTCAATAGTAAACATTATTTCAATAATAAAAGTATTGAAAAAAACAAAAGAAATAGGAAGGCAGGATTTAAGAGATCAGCACTGAATATATACATTACCATATGTAAAAGAGGCAGTGGGAGTTTGATGTATGAGCGAGTACTCTGGGACCATCTGGAGGGATACGGTGGCGAGAGATGTGGGTTCAGGAGGAAAGGGACATATGTATGCCTATGGCGTATTCAAGATGTACAGCAAAAACCATCACAATACTGTTAAAAAAAAAAAACAAAATTTACTGTTTTTGAGTTAGGCCTAAATACAAAATCAAAGCTTTCCTACACCTAACACATTTATATAGTTTTCCTCCAGGATGAATTTTCTGAGGGTCAAAAACTTTATATACTTCACTGCATGTGCAAGTTTTCACTGCAGTATGGATTCTCAGATGATCTGCAACATCATTCCTTGTGACTAAAGGGTTTGCCACATAAATAAATTTATGCGATTTTCTCTCCTGTATGAACTGTATGAACTAGAAACTCTGTGACACTCATTTCACTTGTGTTTTCTATACAGTATGAACTCTCTGAAATATAAGGCCTGAATACTGGCTTTGTACCACTCACGACATCTGCACTAAAATGTTTCTCACAACTGTCACATTTCTAAAGTTTCTCTCTAGTATGAATTCTCCCATGGATTCTAAGTTCGTCAGTTCAAGTAAAGCACCGGCCATATACATCATATTTATATGGTTTCTCTCCTGTCTGAACTGACTGATGATGTGTTATGGATGACTGTACCTAAATGGTTTGTCACAATTCTTATATTTCTAAGGTTCTCTCCCGTATGAATTATCTGATGAACTGCAAAGTTTGCATTCACACTGAAAGCCCTGCCACATATACCTCATTTATATGGTTTCTCTCCAGTATGAACTCTCTGATGAATACCAACGTTAACAGTACAAACAAACGCCTTACCACATACATCACATTTATATGGTTTCTCTCCAGTATGAACTCTCCTATGAAGACCAAGTTTTGCAGTCTGATTAAAGGTCTTGCCACACACATTACATTTATATAGTTTCTCTCCAGCATGAATTTTCTGATGAACTGCAAGGCTTGAAGTTTCACTAAAGTGTTCATGACATATATCACATTTATATGGTTTCACTCCAGTATGAACTCTCCAATGAGCAGTAAGGTTTGCAGCTTGACTAAAGGCTCTGCACCACATATATCACATTTATATGGTTTCTCTCCTATATGGAATCTCTGATGAACTGCAACCTTTGCAGCTTCATTAAAGGCCTTGAACATACATCACGTTTATATTGTTTCTCTCCAGTATGTACTCTCAAATGAACAGCAAGGTGTGAAGTTACTCTGAAAGTCTTGCCACACATATCACATTTATATGGTTTCACTCCAGTATGAACTCTCCAATGAACAGTAAGGTTTCCAGTATGCCTAAATGCCTGTCACATACATTGCATTTGTATGGCTTCTCTCCAGTGTGAATTCTCTGATGAGGTGCAAGTCTTATACTCTTATTAAAGGCCTTGCCACATACATCACATTTATAAGGTTTCTCTACAATTTGAATTCTCCAATGAACTACAAGGCTTGAAGTTTCACTAAAGCCTTTGCCACATACATCACATTTATATGGCTTCCCTCCAGTATGAATTCTCTAATGAACAGCAAGGCCTGAACTTACACTGAAAGCCTTGGCAGATATGCCACAATTATATGGTTTCTCCCCAGTATGAACTCGCCAATGAACAGCAAGGTGTCCAGTACGACTAAATGCCTTGCCACACACATCACATTTATATGGCTTCTCTCCAGTATGAATTCTCTGATGAACTGCACGGCTTGCACTGTGACTAAACGCCTTCCCACATACATCACACTTATATGGTTTCTCTCCAGTATGAATTCTCTGATGAACCACACAGCTTCCACTGTGACTAAACGCCTTCCCACATACATCACACTTATATGGTTTCTCTCCAGTGTGAACTCTCCGATGAACAGCAAGGTTTGAACTTGCTCTGAAAGCCTTGCCACATGTATCACATGTATATGGTTTCACTCCAGTATGAAGTCTCCAATGAATAGTAAGGTATGCAGGATGACTAAAAGCCTTGTCACATACATTGCATTTGTATGGCTTCTCTCCAGTATGAATTCTCTGATGAAGGGCAAGTCTTGTAGTTTGACTAAAGGCCTTGCCACATTTATCACATTCATATGATTTCTCTCCAGTATGAATTCTCTGATGAAATGCAAGGTTCGCAGTTTCACAAAAGACATTGCCACATACATCACAAGTATATGGTTTCTCGCCAGTATGAATTCTCTGATGAACTGCAAGGCTTGCAGTTTGGCTAAAGGCCTTTCCAGAAACATCACATTTATATGGTTTCACTTCAGTATGAGTTCTCTGATGATTTTCAAGGTGTGTACTTTGTTGAAAGCAGTGACCACACACATCACATTTATATGGTTTCTGTCCAGTATGAATATTCTGATGAACTGCAAGGTTTCCAATTTGAATAAAAGCCTTGCCGCACACATCGCATTTATATGGTTTTCCTCCTGTATGGATTCTTTGATGTCCAGTGAGTTCTGAGTCCTGAAGAAAGGTTATGTCACACTGAGTACATTTGTAAGGTCTTTTCTTTTGTGTCTCATGGTCTGGTAACAGTTCTGAAGGATGCAAAACAGCATCCTCATGTTTATGAGAAAAGCCTTTGCATACATTACAAGTTCTCTGAGGTGGTAAACCTGAGGCGCTGACTTGACTACATTTAAAAATTATCCCTTCAGATTGTACTATCTGTAATTCATCCTGAAAGCTTGATCCGTGCCTTTCAGATGGTCTATTTCCTGCATCACTTCTCCTATGATGATCTCTTCCATCAGTGAGGTTTTTGTAATGGGATGTAGACATTCCTTTGTCATTTCTTTCATCATCTGTCCACAGACAATCAAAGTCATGTCTACTTTCCTGGATCTCCCTGAGGCGAAAATCTTTGATGTCAAGGCTTTCAGCTCTTCCAGACATCACTCTTTGAAAAATTTCCCCTTTGCCACTGCTTGCTTTTGCCTGTAATTTCTTGATCTTTTGTATATGAGACATATCTACAAGACATAAAGAACCACAGGTATCCTATCAGTTACAATTCATAAATAAAGTATTTCTTGTCAAACACATGACATTATACCATGAGTCATATCCATCCTGAAGAAAATTATGAATCTTCTCAATGATGATCTTAAAACTATACAAAACTAAAGGAATAGAACTCTTTAAAAAGGAATGATCATATGCAATTCAAATTAATTTAAGGGTAGTGTAGTTTCATACACAATCAGAAAACATTCATTTTATGCAAATTCATGTCAGTTTGCAAAGAAAATGTATTTTCCCACCATGACCTCAAAGCTCATCCTACTTTGTCCTAAACACATTGCTCTCTCATAACTGAGGAGAAAATAATGGTATATTGTACATACTTATTGCATCCTTATACATGTTTAAATGGTAAAAAACATAGAGGACTACAGAGGTGACTCAGTGGTAAAGAAACTGTCTGCCAATGCAGAAGACACGGCACAGGGGGATACAATCCCTGGGTCAGAAAGATCCCCTGGAGCAGGAAATCACAACCCAGTGCACTGTTCTTGCCTGAAAAACATTCCATGGATAGGAAAGCTTGGTGGGCTACAGTCCATGAGATCACAAAGAATCAGACAGGACTGAGCAACTGAGCAAACAACCATCAAAGAGGCAATACACTGGAATGGTAAGCAATGTAAAAGAGGCCTTCTAATGAATAATGTAAAAAATAAATGGCAGTTAGTAACTGTTCAACAAAAACTGCACTGAGAAGGAATTCCATAAACTACATATATATAATATATTTTTTCCTCTCTTGTTGGACCATGTGGTTTATGAGATCTTGATTCCCTGACCATGGATTAACTCCAGGCTTGCTGCGGTGAAACTACTGAATCCTATCCACTGGACTGTCAGGGAATTCCCTAAAATAATTTAAAAAATAAAAAAATAAACACTTTTCTAAATACCTCTTAGAAATCTATCAGTAGATAAACACATAAGCATTTTATGACATTAACAAGTGGTTCATGTCAGTTATATTGTCTAATACAAAAAGACTGTCATTTTTAAAAACAAAAAATATGTGAAACATTCTCTACTTATACAATAATCATTCAATACATCAACTCCATATCTACACAGTAACCTAAACTCACCCAGTTCATTGGCTCCAACATACATGTAAAGGAACAACCTTTGGGGCTTTCCTTGTGGCTCAGAGGTAAAGAATCCATCTGCGAGTGCAGGGCACACAGGTTTGATCCCTGATCCGGGAAATTCCCACATGCCTGAGAACAACTAAGCCTGTAGGCCACAAGTGATGATTCTGTGCTCTAGAGCTGGGGAGTCACAGCTACTGAGCAAACACACAGAGACCATGCATTGCAACAAGAGAATCCACTAGAATGAGAAGTGCATGCACTGTAACTAGAGCGTAGCCCTTGCTCGCTGCAAGCAGAGAAAAGCCCCCAAAGCAACAAAGATCCAGTGCAGATAAAAACAAATAAATTTTAAATAAAATTATCACGTACTGTTATGAAGATAAAAGAATGTAATTTGAAAACTTATATATATATATTTTAAGGAAAAGTAACCTTGGAGGCAAACTCCCTGGTGGTCCAGTAGTTAGGACTATGTGCCTCCACTGTAGGGGGCACAAAATCCTTCCATGAATGGGAAACTAAGAACCAGACTGCCATGTGGCACAGCAAAAGGAAAAAAAGTAACTGTTGATTTTTTCTATAAAACATGCAACAGTCTATGCCACCTAATAGCACTAATGACCACAGGAGGGGAACAAGGGGAAGTAAATCCCTTTGAAACACCCCATCACATGCTACCCAAAGTCAAGCAACAAAGTTGACAGGAGTCAAATGACAGATTGTTGCAGAACATATAAAGACCTTGCCTTTTGGGACCTCTTTTCTTGGAGTCCACTTTCCATGAACCTCTCTCTTTTCTTAAAAAAAAAAAAAAATCACTTTCTTCATTTAGAAACAGCCATCTGCAAATCAGAAGTACTTTCCATTTTCCTTAATAAAATGTAATGTTGAGGTAGGAGTTGGATGGGCTGCAGGTTGGACATCTACAATCAGCTACCCTCCTCTTTCCATGCACTGAGATAAGAGATAGGTGGGCTCAGGTTGAGGAATTTACAGCCAACAAAAACAGGGTAAACAGCCAGTTTGTCTCTTAATTCAGGGGAATAATCTTGGCAAGGACAAAGAAAGGAAAAAACCCTGTATGATAAAGGAGACTACACAAGTGCAGAAAGGCTCCTTGGAGTTAAAGTCTGAGGATCATTCCAGGAAAAATGAGTTTTGCTCCTCTGAGAAGCCTTTGCTTCAAGATCCAGGGTGTGTCTGTGTAGCCAGGGGGAGGGTCCTGAGACAAATTAACCAGGGGGGACAAAGCAAGGTGATCGGCCCACATTTATCATACCTTTCTTACTAAAAACACACGTCTTACTTTCCTTAAGCAACCATGAGCTGTCTGTTATACTAGCATTTTGGAGAGTGGTAAACATAAATACCAGTGATAATCTCTAAGAATATTTGCTTTCTTATAGAGAATATCTCAGGGTGGCACCAGACCCATTCATTAAGAGTCCAAAATCTCTTCAGTTTGACTGTAAGAAGAAATGAGTTTTCAGTAATCTGTGTTTCAGAATCTTACATTATTTGGAAATGAACTAGATATTCAATGAACTTTCATAACCGAGTTTAGCACAACCCTAGAAATTCAGGTTATTCAAATCTGGAGAGACTATTTTAGACAGACATTTCTAAAGTATAATCATCCCTAATAGAGTTTATCTAAAAACTCCAATGGCGTTTAAAATCTTTCCTTAAAAGTTTTCTTCACTTGAGTTACTTCAACTGTTCACCAACTTACTTAACGTAAACCTAGGCAGAATAAAACTATTAGACAATGTTGAAGACTCAAGACATGTCTTAATTAGATTAGCAAACAAACATTAATACTAGATATTTAATATTTCCCAGGTCACATGAACCTGAAATTCACTTGTTAAATTCTCTTGAAATGTTTTTTTTTTTTTAAACAAACAATTGAATGAGAGCTCATTTACAAATTAACCTCAGCAATATTATCCAAAAACAAAGACACACACTGAGACAAACACACATGCAGGTCGACAGAGATAAGAGCTCTCGTACTTTCCTGCTTGAGATTTAAAATGTCTCTTTCACACTTTTATTCCCAGCACCTTCCCCGTGGTTCAAAATTCTAATTTGCCCAAGACTGAAATCTCTGGGAAAATGGGTTTCATATTTCAAGGACATGCCAAAGGTTGCATGCTATGCAGGGTCACTTCAGTCCTGTCCAACTCCCTGGAACCCCATGGACTCTAGCCCACCAGGCTCCTCTGTCCATGGTGGGACTCTCCAGGCAAGAATACAACAGTGGGTTGCCATTCACTTCTCCAGGGGATCTTCCCTACCCAGGGATCAAATCCATGTGTCTCCCCCAAGGGCTGGCAGGTTCTTTACCACTAGAGTCATCCGGGAAGCCCTGGCAAAGGTTAACTTTAAGCTTTGTTTTCAGCCGATCTTTTTAACAAGCTTGCTGTTTTTAATTCCACGTGTAAAAAGAACTGATTTTGCACTTTCAAAGAAAAAAAAATTCATCTTAACCAGTTTTCTCCAGAGTCTAAAAAATATCATGGCCATCCTGTATCAAACAAGTTATCTTTCCTTTCTATAGTCATACCTTTATGGCTAAAATACAGAACAAATAGTGCTCAAATTGACTGTGATAACAGGGCCAGAAGGACTGATAAAAATCTGGGAATGTCCCTCCAGGGAGATGGGGTCTTTGATCAGAAGACTCTAAAGAGGTAAACAAATTTGCTAGAGTGGGGAAACCTAGGCTCCCCCTCCCCGTGAGAGACAGGGGCCTTTAGAAGGGGACTAGCTGATGGAGAGGGAGGAGGAGGGGCTGGGAGGGGTGAAAGGCTACAACAGGACAGAGAATGGAGAGAGAAAGGGCAGTGGGGGACACTATTGGAGCTGTGGGCCGGATAAAGAGAGTCAACTTAAAAAGTGAAGATTTGATCAGCCAAAATATAATGTGACATTGTAATATGGATAATCATCCTCACAAATTGCATAATTCTTCTTCCAGTTGGAACTTCTCTTTAGACAGTTTTAAGTTACCTTTATCTCATGGTAGGCAGAGAGCAGGATCCAGGAGCCAACTTGGATGGCGCTAAGCCTGGGGCTTGGTTGGCAAGGGCCCCTGCAAAGGCTGAACAATCTCAAGATTTGTGCCCTATCTTATCTATGCTGCTGCAAGCCTTGCACTCACAGAAGACAGTCAGGACATTCACACTCAGGGCAGTTTCCATGCAGGTTAGAAGCAAGGTCAGAGGAATGCACTGCTTTGTCTTGAAGCCTAAACAAGACTATTTCTTTAATTTCCTTAACACCCTGGTGGCTCCATGGTAAGAATCTGCTTAGTAATGCGGGAGGCATGGGTTCGATTCTTGTTCTGGGAAGATCTCACATGTCACGGAGAATAAGTTGATGAACTACAGATAGTGAGCTTGTATGGCAAAACTACTCACACCCGTGTGCCCAGGGCCCGTGCTTCACAACTAAAGAAACCACCACATTGAGAAACCATGCTCCCCACAACTACAGAGTAGGCCTCACTCGTCTCCAACAGACAGAAGTCCACACAGCACAAAAGACCCAGTACAGGCCAAAAACAAAGACCTCGCCTTCATCTCGGTGGGTGCTACAGCTCCACTGGAGGGTGCTGTACATTTCACATGTCGAAGAACAGAGACGTCAGTTAGGGAGAAGAAAAACCTCCTGTGAGACTCACAAACATTAAACATCTGTTTTCTCACAGAACTCTCCCCCTTGGAGAGTTTCCCAAACCCCATGAATGGTGTGGCTTCCTCTCTGTCCTTGTGACAGCTGACCTGTGATCACACTGTTGATACTTTCCCACTCATCTGGATTTCTGCTATTAGCACCTCATTCTCCACAATCCAGGGGTCTTCCTCCTTGTGCCACAAGAATGGAGATAATGTTCAGATCAGAAACAGAAAATCCTACTCACAAGTAATGCCACATACTGTGGCTTCTTCCAGAGTATAGCCTCTCCTTTTTTTAATAAACGTATCTGTTATTTTTAATACATTGGTGAATTCATTTCTGTTGGCTTGGGCGAGTGTTCGTTGCTGCTTGGTCTTTTCTCCAAGTTCAGCAAGTAGAGGCTATGCTGCAGTTGCAGTGCTCGTGCTCCTCACTTGCTGTGGCTTCTCCTGGGTGCACGGGCTTCAGTGGTTGTCCCATGTGGGCTAAGCAGTTACAGCTTCCAGGCTCTAGAGTGCTGGCTCGTAGTTGAGGCACACAGGCGTAGCTGCTCTGTGATATGTGGGATCTTCCCTGACCAACGATCAAACCCGGTCTCCTGCATTGGCAGGTGTAGAATCCAGCTCTTTTTTCAGCCAAGGTGTGAGGACATTATAAACCAACAGAAAAATACTTCTCAAAAGAATTTACTATTTGCCTAGTAGACAGGCAGGGCTAGAAAACAGGCAACTGGATATTTCAAAGTTTGAAATCAGCTTTATAAATACTCAAGTTCTGAAAAAACTCCTTCTGTATCACACATTGGCAGGTCACCAGAAGGAAAGACAAGTTTAAACTCCTGATGCCAATCACGAAGCTTTACATGTGTGAATCAACAAGGTTTTGGGCTTAGTCAAGAAAAACAGGTGCTCTCAAAAGGTGCAGAGGGAACATGCTGAGGTACCCCAGGGCAGATCCCCACTTAAGGAGGAAGTGATCCTCACCCACAGACAGCAGGTTCCTGAGAGTCTCCACCATCACGTCCTTGTACAAGGTCCTCTGGGCAGGGTCCAGGCATTCCCACTCCTCGGAAGTGAAATCTATGAACATGTCCTTGAAGGTCAGCTGTGCCTGAAATGAAAACACATTTCACCAACGGGCCCTGAGGAGTGTTCTTTGTTTCACACAAAATGAGAAGAGGTGAGAGGGCTAAAGTTCAATGCAGTTGAAGTAATATTCTGATAGATCCATCACGAGCTGCTTGAAGCAAACTGTTGATCTCTAATCTAATTTCTAATTTCCTTTTTTCTAAGACTATGATATCCTGTAATCAACATGAATTTGTCATGTATGTGGACAATACATGAAAAATACACATATTAAAATCAACACTGGGTTGTGTATGCAGAAGTGTTACATTCAACACATGGAGTGACATAGTGTCACTATCTAGATAAGTTACAGGAAGACTGGTGTCTTCAGAGACGACAAACTCCACATGACTTTAAAAGAACACAGACATTGTGATGATGACAACAGGTGTGTCACTAAGCATCACTCTAAAGACTTCACACGGATGAACTTGTCATCAACATAACAGCATGTTAGAGAAAGATCTGTGTCCAGCTTACTGGGGAGAAAACTCTATCACTCTAAGAAATCACTCAGATCAAACAGTTAAGCAATGAGGCAACAGCACCTGAGCTCAGGTGGTTGGGAGAGACAACTGAACCTAAAGAATCAACCAGTTAACAACCAGAGAAGGAAAGAGCATCCACAGAGCGTTCCCTGAGAATACCGCAAACAAGTTCAAGGAAGCTGAAATACAACAGAACAGCATAAATGGGCACGATACAGGGTCACATCCTCTCCCATCGCAACCCACACAATGTCAAAAATCTTACTATAATTTACATCATTCATGTGATGATGCAGAAAAAACTTAACGCCATGAAATACACTTAAGATACAACTGAAACTGCTACAAAGCATAGGCCATTATTTATGAGATGGTGTTTTTGTAATAAAACCATGGAGTTACATACCCGTGCATTCATGCATGCATGTGTAAACACACAATCACTTAAAACAAGAGGAGTTATCTTTTGTTTCTTTCATTCTATCAAAATTCATTCAGCGTCAGCTTTGCGCCTCAAACTTGAATAAAGCAGTGAACATGACGGAGGCTACAATCTAGCAGCCAGCCAGCCAATTTCATCCACAACTTTAACATTACTATCGAAGTAAGCGCTCTGACACAGGCCCGGTGCTAAGACAAGATTAAACAGAACGTCTTAACCTACACTGAGAAATCAGGCAAGGTCTCTGTGAGGAAGACACATTTAGGATTGGCCAGGTGGGAAATGGAAGAGTGTCGCAAGGACAAACCACAGCCTGAGTGCCAGCTCTGAGGCAGGAAGATATTTACTGAACAGAAAATCTGACTACGACACAGGGAATGTAGACGGGGTGATGCCAGGTAGAGACTTATTTATGCAAGATCTATGGATTTAGGACTTTATTCCAAAAGGTACTGGAAGTCTCTGAAGAACCTGCAAGAGGAAAGGTAAGACGCTTAGATTTGTTTTTCAGAGCTCAATCTGCTGTATGTGGAACTTGTTGTTTACCTGCTCACTCATGCTAGACTCTTTGCAACCCTGCTGATGGCAGCCCACCAGCTCCTCTATCCATGGAATTCTCCAGGCAAGAATACTGGAGTGGGTTCCCATTCTCTTCTTTCATGTTAGTTCTTCATTCAGTAACTTTGTCAACATTCTATTTCTTTTTTAAAGCTTCTTTATTTTGGTTATGTTGGGTCTTCATTGTTGTGAGTGGGTTTTCTCTACTTGCAGCTGCAGTGCCCCGGCTTCTCATTGTAGTGGCTTCTCGTTTGGAGCACATGCTCCAGAGAGTGCGGGCTTCCGTAGTTATGGCTCCCAGGCTCTAGAGCACAGGCTCAGTAGTTGTGGCCCATGGGCTTAATTACTCTGAGGCATCTTCCCGGACCTGGGATGGAACCCATGCATCCTACATTGGCAAGCACATTCTGAGCCACTGTACCACAAGGGAAGTCCTCAACATTATCTTATTCTAGTTCAAAAAAAAGAAAAGTAATACAAGCAGAAAATAACATACAGAAGATTTCTTCCAATCTTTATAAAATACCTGTATTTAAAAACACGTGGGCCTCCCTACGGTAAGTGGTAAAGAATCCACTGGGCAATGCAAGAGATGTCGGTTGTTGCCTGGTCTGAGATCCCACATGCTGAGGGGCAACTAAGCTGTGAGTCTCAATTCCTGAGCCAGAGCTGGAGAGCCCAGGAGGTGAAACTACTGAAGCCAGAGTGCTCTAGACCCTGTGCTGCAAGAGAAGAGAAGCCACTGCAATGAGAAGTGTGCGCACCACAAGCAGACACTTGCCACCACTGGCCAGAACCAGGGAAAAGACACTGAAGCAATGAAGATACAGTATAGGAAATAAATATATTTTAAAAATAATAATGTGATTTCTATCCTTAATTTTAGGTATGTACTTATTAAAAAAAATCCAAAATTTATTATTTAATTCCATTAAGAAAATACTGAATCAAGATTAGTAAAGTTGGAGAACTGCCTCATGGTCCAGTGGTTAAGATCCCTGACTTCCACTGCAGGGTTTCAGGTTTGATCCCTATTGAGCAAACTAAGACCCTGGAAGCTCAAAAAAGAAAGAAAAAAAATTAGTAAGCTTGACTTTACAGTTTAAATTAGATGGTATAACAAAACACTCCCTAGCCCTGACATCTCTTTCTGAACGCTCCATTCCATTCCCAAACACTTAAGTTTTCAAGGAGGTGCTCATTTAGTTTTAAATGTTCTATAAAAAGTCAGAACTGATTTCCACTCACTGGCCTCTTTGGCAGATTTAACTGTGTACTGTACATGTTAATACCTGAGGTCCACGTACAGCTTCTTTACCGTGGTTGACAGAGAACAGACAGCGCATCCAGATGGGCCCTAAACAGTCCCTGCTGCCCAATAGCACTGAGACCCCGTCTGCAACCTGTGGGTGAGAAGCCCTGCCCAAGACAGTGTCCAGGGGAGCCTCCTCACAAGGGCCAGGTCACCGGGTCATGGGGAGATGAGATCTTAAATGGAGATGACAGGCCCTGAGGGAAGGCCCCGGGTGAGTGTGCACATACAGGAGTCAGACAGGACACTCCAGAGTCAGACACGATTGGCGAGTCCAGAGAAGGGCATGTCAGGAAGGCAGCGTGAGAATCCACTGGGAATATGACCTTACCTGAGAAAGCCATGTCTGATTCCTGTTCTTTCCTCTTCTGGGCTTCTTTGTCCATGAGCCTTCACAGTTCTACCATGAAAGTTGAAAACATGCTGTTTAATGCTTAAAGTCAACACATCCCTTTCCTGAGCCCCAACCACACACACAGGGAAGCCCTCACCATGAGGAACAGACAGTCCTCTGTGCCCACTGTCTCAGGAGGGACTCTGGACAGTCAACTCCCGCTCAGAGACCAACACGGGACTTTCCCACACGTTCCTTGGATCACACTCCCTTCCTGGTGAGGCCTCATGAATACAGCAGTAGTGGGCACCTCCACTCACCCCAAGATCCCCGTCAGGTCACACAGCAGGCCCTGGTCCAGCCACACTCAGAACAGTGCACCCTCCCCTCTCCCAGGGCCTGATCTCAGTCTCAGAAGTGGAGGCTAAGAGCCCTGGTGCTCAATGCAGGATCCAGATCGGAATCATCTGCGGCTCTGTGCACATTCCTGGGGCGAGGCCCCACACGAGATCCTGAGGAGCATGTCTGATGGGGGAGAACCGACGAACTAAATGAGTATGTGTATACATACCATACACCCTGTGACCATATGACACATGTGTACACTGTGAAATATTTATCACAAACCACTAATGAACACATCCATCACCTCCAAATTCCCATGTTGTGTGTGTGGTGACAACACTGATGACATACTCTCCTGACAAATTCCCAGCATGCAGTAACAGAACAGGATGAACTACGTACGGTCAGGATGCTGCGCATACCTCCCCAAAACGCACTCATTTCACAACTCAAAGTTGGTAGCTTTTGACCAACATCTCCCCATCTTCCCGACCTTGCAGCCCCAGGTGACCACCATCCTACCCTCTGGTACTACTGAGTTTCATTTTTTTCACATTCCATATAATAGAAGGACATATAATATCAGTCTTTCCCTGTCTGCTTAACTCACCATAATATTCTCTTCATTCATCCAAGTTGTCCCATGTGAGACAAATCTCCGTAATTGTTTACAAGAAAGTTGCTATTGAACCAACAAATCTTTATCCCAAGCTACAAAACTAATAAATTCAAAGAATGTAGAAAACCAAAAGTAAAACCATCACAAAGAACATGGTTAAAGTTCCTTGAAAAGGCATCATGTAGTAAGAGTCAGTTCTTGCCTCATTTCTTCCCTCATATAACCTCTACTCCTCACCAGGAATAGGGAAGGGGTTGACCCACACCTGAGAGAATCAAGTCACTGCCCCAGCCCCCACCTCAACAGGCTCTACACATGCATGCTCTTTTAATACAAATAATTACAAAATACACATGCTTCACAGACAGAAGTTTTGCGATTCTCATTTTTATCTCTAGAATTTAAAGAAGTAAGATCTGCATTAGATTTTAAAGCCAAAAATCAATGTATGACGACATAATAATTCTTACCCAACTGCTTCAGCACTCTTCTGGATCTAGTACCCACCATCACCTGCACACTAGCTATTTCCACTTCATTTGGTTGATCTGTTTCCCTACTTCTTTCTACATCTCCCTTTCTCTGCTCTCATCTCTGCTCTCCTGCTGAGCCTGTCCTCCTCTCTACTTCTTCCCTGCCTCCCATCCAGCCTCTCTCTGCCATCTGTTCGCCTTCAAGTTGCTTTCTCTTCAACCTCCCTGGTGAGCCTCAATCTCCCTGCATTTCTGCCTTTCTTCCTCCATCTCTGCCCTCCCTTCCTCCCAACTCTCTGGCACTCCCAAGTGGCTATGCTTCCTTTCAGCTCCTCCAATCACTAGGAGTCCCCTTTCTCTCCTAGAAGGATATTCTTGCTCTGGGCCCAACTCTTGTATGGCCTTCGCGGGCTGTCTCTGTGAACTGCCTCTCCACTGTCGTCCTCTTTGGGACCCCTGATTTACAGCCCCTCTCCCTTGAAGGCTACAGAAAGGGGCGGCAGAGGACGAGATGGGGAGATACCATCCCTGGACTCAACGGACATGGATTTGAGAAAACTCTGGGAGATCCAGGACTCGCAAAGTGTCGGAATGAACAACCACACCTCCCTATCTTGCTCACCTTTAACTCTCCGGAGATCCTGCTTTTCTCTGAATTTCTCTCCTTTCCCCACCCGCTCCCTAGAAGGCTCATTCTCTTTCATGAAGCTGTCTAAGTACCTCACAATCCTCTTCACTGCCATCCCTTGTCCCACGTGCTTTTCTCAATTTTCCATTTCTCTAGGAGTCGCTGTCTCTGCTTCTCCTGATGCCGCCTTCCGCCCACTACTTACAGGGTAGGAGACTGAATAAGAAAGGCCCTCCCGCAAGAGCCAAATTCCAGCGCCTGGCATTTGGGGCCGAAGAACCATGGGTGTCACGTGGCTGCCTCAGGTCACCTCCCGCCACCAGGGATCAGGGGAAAAGTCACTATCAAGGTCAGAAGGACCGGCCTGAGGAGACGTGAGGACAGAGGAGATGGGAGGGCTCTCCAGAATCCCAGGATCGCGGAGAGAACGCGGCCTCTCGGGGAGCCGGGAGGCCGGCGAGGCCTCCACGGCCCGAGAAGGAGATGCTGAAGAACGTGCAGCGTAAACCACCTCGCCTAATAGAATTGTATGTGGTGCAGAAAAGGTAGAGGAGTCAGTGAGGTCACTTAACGGTTTATAAGCCGGAAAAAGGTGCGAAACGCAACGTTTCAGCGTTCCAAAAGCAGGAACCGGCTTCAGTGCGGACTTTAAAGCAAAAGGCAGGCGCCCCTTCGCCGCTTATGGAGACGTCTGAATTTACTGGGGGTGGTGGGGCGGGAGCGGGGATTTAGAGTCAGTAGCGACCCTCAGACCCGGGGTACAAAGAAAAGGAGACTGCGAGAGGCAGGTCTGACTCCAAAGATAGAAATTCACGCCAAGCTGGGACCTCACTCGCCGCTCTCCGCTTCCACGTGAGTCACGGTGCGCGCACGCGCAGCAAATAGATGAACGGCTGGAGGCGGGGCCAGGCAGTCAGAGGGTGGGTGGTAGAGAGAAGCCGGACCAGCATAGGGCCTTTGAAAGGTGAGGCGGAAAAAAAAGGAAAGAAAGAAAGAAAGAAACGCGAGGCGGAACCTCGCCACTTGGCGGGTAGGTCGTTTCGGCGCGGGGGGAGGGGCGGGGTGGAGCGTCCCGGCCTGGCGGGGCGGGGCCATTCGGCGCGGAGGGAGGGGCGGGGAGTCGCGGCGCAGCGGGCAGAGGAAACACTTCAATACTGTCAGTTCAGTTCAGTTCTGTCGCTCTGTCGTGTCCGACTCTTTGCGACCCCATGAATCGCAGCACGCCAGGCCTCCCTGTCCATCACCAACTCCCGGAGTTTACTGGACTGCAGCCAGGAAATAAAAAAACAACTGCTCCTTGGAAGGAAAGTTATGATAGAACTACATGGTGTATTGAAAAGCAAAGGAATAACGTTGCCAACAAAGTTCCCTATAGGCAAACTATGGATTTTCCAGTAGTCAGCTCGGGATGTGATTTTAAAAGTGATGTCAGTTCGTCCATAAAGAAGGCTGAGCATAGAAAAATCGATGCTTTTGGATTGTGGTGCTGGAGATCAGTCTTGAGAGTCCCTTGGAGAGCGAGGAGATCAAACCAGTCAATCCGAAAGGAGACCAACCGTGAATATTCATTGGAAGGACTGATGCTGAAACTGAGGCTCCAATACTTTGGCCACATGATGCAAATATCAGACTCACTGGTAAAGAACTCGACGCTGGGAAAGATTGAAGGCAGGAAGAGAATGGAATGATAGAGGATGAGACGGTTAGATGGCATCACCAACTCAATGGACATGAGTTTGAGCAAACTCCAGGAGATGGTGAAAGACAGGGAAGCCTGGTATGCTGCAGCCCACGAGGCTACAATGAGTCAGTCATGGCTGAGCGACTAAACAACAGCAACAACACATCACTGATAAGGCATAGACTGGGAATTTGTGGAGTGTGTGTCTGGTTTTTTCCCAGAGAAACAGGGAGCCTAGTGGGGTCTTAAATCAGTGATAATGGGGAAGGGTGGCTCTTGGCAGTAAGCCTTTTCCTGGAAGTGAAGTGGGAGAATTCTTTAATCTTTGCTCTTGTCCATAATTACAGGATCTGAAGTAAGCTTCAGCTCTGTCATCATAAGCTATAAGTCAAAGAAAAGTCAAAGAAGATAAATACAGATGTAATAGTTAAAAATGGAACCTTAGGAATATTAACCCAATAATAATAAAAACATGGAAAGCCTGAGAACCTCAGTGTATGTACCTCAGAACGTCGGTGAGGAGCCCTGCATGTTCCTTTGGGCTGTGTTGTGTCTGGTCCTGTCACATCTTAGAGACACGAGTACATGTTGAAAGACGTTCCTCTGAATCAACAAATCAGAGGCCTGGGTTGAACCAGAACCCAGAGGTTATATTGATGCCAGAAACTTGGCTCTCTGTGCACAAATGCCAAACCGAAATGTTTGAAATACAAACGGAGAGGCAGAGTTATGGAGGATGAAGAGTGGCTTTATATATGTGCGAGGCTAAAAGGGAACACTTTAGGCCCCCTCCCTGGTGCTTAGGGAGATGTTATATTGTCTGCTAGGGATATATGCTAAGGATCAAGGCAGTAACAGTCTTGTATTCTTGTTTCCTCTGCAAAGTTCTAAAAGGATGGGGTTGGTGACAAGATTAAGTTTTGTGCAGGATCTTAGGTGGTCTGGTCTCCTAATCAGTGCAGTGGTAAAGAATCCACCTGCCAGTACAGGAGACTTGAGTTCCATTCCTGGGTCAGGAAGGTCCCCCGGAAGAAGAAATGGCAACCTATTTTGTGTCCATTGGGTCACAAAAGATTTGGACACGGTTGTCCCGGCGGGAGCATCCTTCTTTGCTTAGCAACTGTTCTGCCCTTTGGAACTCACAGAAGGTCATGGAGGTTGCAGTCCTATCTATAAGAAATGGGACCCAAAAAGGCCTCTGTGCCTGGGAACCCCACAGAGCCCTGCCCTGCAGCCTCAATACTATGAAAAATATTTTCCATTTTGCCATTTGTCTGGTGGTCACGGAAAAAAAGTCTTTGCACAG